CTCATTGAAATGCACATACATAGACTTGTCACTTGTATCTGCAAGAGAACATTCGATGTTGGCACTTTGAAATTAACTTGAACACATCGTTCAATTTTATGACTTTCAAGTCGACTGAACGAATATTCACTGAGTTACTTGCCGTGTCAGTTGAATTCTATGCGACGAAATGTAATCGCAAATTTAAAAATGAAAGCGTGAAGTATCAAAAACGTAAACCTTGAAATTGTTTTGAGTCGCAAAGTATATCGGCCCTGAAAAAAAAAAGTAATGTTCGATCTGTTGTGATACTTTCGTTTGATTTTGTTGTTTTTCCGTAGAGTGCTGAATGGGTAGCGTTCAGATTTGCTATTTTGACTGTGAAGTAGATCAAGAGTTTCTCTGGTGACATTCATTAAGTTTGAACATCCTTCGGAGACCTTTGGACATTTGTTGTAGCAACAACATAAGCGAACAAAGGTTAAGTTAAAGCACAAACCAAACGATAACCAAAGAATGCTCGTGCTATACATCGTGAATCCAATCAGACGCGTTTCGTTGAAATTCTCGGGTATTTTGCGTGTTTTGAATGCGTACAACGTGCACGCAATAATGAGCAGCATATTGTACATCAACGACGCCAACAAATGCGCTGCCGTGGCTTTGCACGTTAGAATGGCTTCGGTTCGAGTCGGGAATTGTACCTTCGTACCGGGCGGATAGATTATCAACCATATCAATGAACCAACCAGTTGCACAGAAACGATCGCCGCACAGATACCAACCTGCAATTTTGCTATTGATGTTATACCAGTCTATAAGTTTCCCGAATGCTCATTGACGGATTCAGATTTTTTCAGGTTGAAAATTTTCAATCACATTTTCTTTCCATTCGTTTTTTGCTTAACCTAATCGCTTTTCGTGCAATGGTGTTTATGGATTTGAAAGGGTTATGGAGGCGTCTTCGGTAGATTCACCTTACTCACCCTACTTTAAAACTGCAAAATTTCCAAAAAATGTTTCTATCATGTCTCCCAGCAGTAAGTACCAACCATATAAGCCTGCCACTATTTTATCGTACTGTACAAAACTCTAATGATCTTATGAGCAGTAGCTCGAGATTATGAAATTCTCATTGCTGACAGATTTTCAGTGAGTTTTCGCATTGATGTTCCTTGAGGATGATGAAATCGATATAATGCGATGTTTGAAAAATTCAAATGATAAGAGGATTACACACGTGGGATAGGATTACCAGTGGAGTTTGCAAGTGAATAACCTGGGCACGAGGAACTATGCAACCGGGTCTAGCCGCACTGTGTGGTGCAAAAACTCTTGCGAGACGATTCGTTTTGGTGAGTATCGCAGCGTAAATAGCCGACATCGATAAACCAATCAAAACCCTCGAAGCAGCACATATGCCGACGGTTGGCTTTGAAACGAGAACGAATGTGACCATATAGCAAAGCGATATACCACTGAGCATGCAATAGCACAGCTCTCGACCTGATGCCATAACGACTGGTGTTGAACTGTATCGAATAAAAACCTTAATTGAGCGTTTTTAACTCTTGGATCCTATCTTGATGCATCGCTCAGCAGGATATTTCATTCTTTCACAAGACAAAAATGGATCAAGCTTACAGTTGCAGAACAACGGGCTCACCTGAACGAAATTTCAAATATATTCAATTTTTTACAAGGGATCGACAAGAAACGTACCAAAACAACGAAAATCGTTGCTGCGATACCGAGTGTAGAAAACGCTGCAGGCAGAACGACCCATGGACTATCATAATGCAGTATTTCTGGTGGGATAGGTTTACACGTATCCAGATCCTTATTCGGTACTTCACCCAGTGGACATTGAATACAACTGGAAATACATCGATGACACCTATATGAATTATTTGTGGACGATAATTTCTTGATTTTTTTTTTACGTGTTCAGTGAGATAAATCTAAATTGGAAGCATGAATCAGCCAATGCAGATTAGGTGAAGTAGTGTGGTGAGCGCCATTAGAGTGATAATCAGTGCAGCGTTATGATCGTATGGAATTAATGATAAAATTCAAAACATGAAACGAGTTCATTGTGCATCAACCTAGTTTCGTTCAATATAATAGAGGTTGTAACATCGCAGGGAATACACGTCCAGCAGCATGTTTGGTCTTGATAGGCACGATAATATCCTCGGTCACATTTGGTGCTACAAACCGAGAGTGGTAACGGTGCGTCCCAATTCTTCAGTCCATTCCTGCACATAGACAAAAACTCTTTTTGAGGATGAAATGCAATATCTTTCAAACATCTGCATATCCAAAAAACGACTGCTCCTTCTAGGCAAATAAGAAAAGTTGAGCAGTTCATAGCAATGATCAACAACCGAATACTGCTCCCGCTCATAATACCATCTTCATTGGCTGCATTACTAACCTAACTCGGTCGATGTCCAGATCAAAGTCCTTTCCAGCGATCCATTTTCCTACTTTCGTATATCTGCCATGATCGTTCAACTGATAAATGCTGTACTTGCCAATACCGTCACCGTTTGCATCAATTAACGGAGGGCTACCAGCTGAAACAATTAGAAAAAACTGAGAGATACGACCAATCTCTTTCGAACTGCTAAAAATCATCGATGCATTTCTCGAGCTACTAAAAAGTCTGATCGAATGCATCATTCCTGTGATAATCCAGCGTAAACAATGAGATTAAATAAAACGACTGCTCGATGATTTGGTGTAAGCGTTAATTAATTATACGGTTGGAGTAATTAGTGGTTCAAAAACATTTAAATGTTATCACTCAACGCTTAATTTGGAACACAGTAGTAAATCTATGACATAAGAAGATTTACTCACTTAAAAACATGATTATTGTTAGCAAACTACCTATTTCTCATCCCAGGGCAACTGATAATTTTGGTGGTTGGCATTCTGAATGAAGGATTTTGGCTCTGAGATCAGCCTTTACCCACTTTAATAGAACTTTATTATGCACATCGCTCCCTTATTGTATCGTTGTTCTGTATGTCTATATTTGATCTTACAGTTAATTAATGGATACAGTTTTCAGACTTTTACTCCACCTGTCACTACGTTGGTGTCAAACCTTGATCAAAAGAATTCTACTGTTTAAGAAAGTAATTATTGTTAGAAAGTGCAGAATTCTGCTCGTAAAATGACAAGCAAAACTTACGTGTTAACGAAACGTTGCGATAGTATTTTTGCAGTCGACTTCCTTCAAAACCAATCCGCGAAACGTTGCACTTATGAAACGGTATTTTACCGCATGCAGTCTGAATAACCGATAACTTTTGGCACCGCTAGCCAGGTGGCAATTGTTACAAGTTTGTACAATGTAAGCTGATCATTACGAAAGCTTGATCGTACTACTTGATCATAATCGCGTTTTATATCGACAACATTAATGTGACATCAAGGTGAAGTTTTTAGTTCACATAAAATATCGCCTCACCTTAACATATCGATGCAACGCTCTTGCAACAAGGTTAACCGCATCAACTACTGATGAAACGTAGGCCTCTTGCTCGAACGTAATACCCAGATGAGAGAAACATTCTCCGAAATTCACTTGAGTCGTACAATTCAATGATTCCCAATACTCTTTCAGGAACGTATTCGATGGGCCAAGGCTTTTGAAATAAACATTGAACCCTAAAGCTTAAAGGAATGAAATGATCAAGCACGACGAAACTCAATTTGTAGCTATCTTCGATGCAATGTTGACTATAATTTTTGACTGTGATTGGTCCTGACGTCCGTAGGTGTATCAGTCTTCGAGTAAAGACACTGAACGTTAGCATGAATAATGAGTATGCTCAAGTAAAAAAGAATTTCTTTTCAGTCAGCATCACTTAAATTCGTTGTTGTGCGCACTTCGATGATTGGTCGTTTTGAATCGCGCAGTCTAACTGTGCAGAATAACTAGGCAGCCCCCCATTAAACAAGCAAGAGTGAAAAAAAATTGGGCTGAATCGTTAAGGAAGCCTTCCGCTTAGAAATGACA